TCCTAGAGTATATTTTAAGTGAGGAACTAAGCCTCCACAATGTTGGCCAAATACCGATATTTGTAACGAGGGCTAGGGAGGAGGTACCAGACATCACGCTTAGCAACAGATTGGCTAATCCTCTGGTCACACAGGGGGGAGTCTCGTCGGAGCCCTCAATGTCAGACCATAGAATTATCCAATTTGCACTAGGAGTAGAAGTCAAAACAAGGCAGGCAAACAGGAACCGCAGGAAACCCGACTGGGCAAAGTACAATGAGACTATAGAGCCAAACCTGAATGAAATTAAGTCCAGGAGTAGGTACACCGGCTGTATGAGCTAGAGAGCACCGTCAATTAGTTAAATGGCGCTATTGTGGATGCCTTTCACTCTAGCTTCCCGGAGACAAAACCAAAAGAAGAAGGTGCAGCCCAACTGGTGGTCTCGGAAGATATCGCTGCTCAGAAAGGAGGTACGCAAACTATTCAACAGAGCAAAGCGCACAGGATGCTGGGCTGAATATTCAGCCAGTCTAACTAACTACAGTAAAGAAATCAGGAAGGCTAAGCGTTACAGCCGCTAGGCTGCACAAGGCCTTAGCAAGGGACCATACAGATACCTACATACTCAGGCAACGAAGAGGAAAGGGCACTTGCCCTGCTTTTCGCCCATTTCCCGGATGCCACTGGACTGGGAATTATTCTCTCGCTAAGCGCTTCAGGCCGATAAGTCTTACCTCCTTTCTGCTTAAGGCGATGGAGAAGGTTATCGACCATGAAATCAGGAACTTCACTCTTAAACAGGCGCCTTTACACCCTGACCAACATGCCTACAGAGTGGGCAGGTCTATGGACACCGCACTGTAAGCCTTGTCTTCGGTAGTACAAGATGCCTTTGAGTGTGGGCAGACACTACTTTGTGCCTTCATTCACATCGAGGGGGCGTTTGACAACACCTCTCATGTTAGTGTCTATCGACCGGGCACTTGGAAAATGCAATGGGCAGGCAACGATCCGCAGGTGGATAGCCAGGCTACTTAATTCAAGCAGCGCTGAAACCGACATCGGGGACATCGTGGTACAGCTAAAAACTATAAAAGTTTGCCCGCAGGGAGGAGTTTTATCCCCTCACCTATGGAGCTTAGTTGTGGACGAACTCCTACGGATTTTCGCCGACAATGGCATCCGCTGCCAAGGCTATGCGGATGACATTGTGATTATCGCAAGAGGGACGTTCGTGAGCACTCTCTGTGATATAGTGCAAAGGGGACTAAACCTATCAAGAGGCTGGTGCGTGGATATGTGCCTCAGTATCAACCCCTCTAAAACGGTTACTGTCCCTTTTCTAAAAGAAGAGCACTTCCAGGCATGAGGAACATTTCTTTGAATGGGATCGCCATCAACGTCGCCACCGAAATTAAGTACCTGGGATTAACACTATACGCTAAACTTCTGTGGATGTATACCATGATAGTTAGACCAATAGTCACCTATGGAGCAGTGGCTTGGATCTCGAGAACAACCCTCACCACGGTGAGGCAATCCCTTATCACGCTTCAACGTCTGGCATATGTATGCATCACGGGGGCAATGCGCACATGTCCGACGGCAGCGCTGGAGGTGATTCTCGAGCTCGAGCCGCTGCATCTTACCATAGAACAGGTTGGAAAGCGAACTCTACTAAATTTCGCGAGAGAAGGCTTTGGCAGAGGCGAAACCTCTATCATTAAGGAACAGAGACAAGCTAAGCTCCCAAATTCCATTTTTTTGCTCCCCAGAGATGATAGGCCTAAGGTGGTAAATTTTGACAGGAATTTCAAAATAGAGCTTTGCACCAAGTCGACTTGAAGCACCTCTCTCATGGAGAGGCATATCCAACCGAGCTCGTTGCAATGGTACACAGACGGCTCGAAGACTCCGGAAGGCATTGGGGCTGGCGTCTACGGGCCAAGGCTACAGCTCTCGGTACCCATGGGGCATACCCGATTATCTTCCAAGCGGAGGTCTATGCCATCAGTCTGTGTGCAGAAATTAACCTACGTAGGAATTACCGTAATGAGAGATTTATTATTGAGCGATAGCCAGGCAGCACTCAAGGCCCTCTCATCATATGAGGTCAAGTCATCCTTGGTTCTTGCGTACATTGCATTGATAGGCTCAACTGCCTGGCGGAGTACAACGACATCCAATTAACTTGGGTACCAGGTCACATAGGAGTTGCGGGCAACGAGGAAGCGAACCGACTAGCTAGAATTGCGGCAGCCTCGTCGCCTATAGGCCCTGAGCCCTTCCTAGCGATTGGACCTAGCATAATCAAGAAAGAGCTCAGCAAAGAAAGGAACAGGCTAAGGAACCAACACTGGCGTAACGCTACAGGTCTACGTCAAGCAAAACACCTACTGAGAGGTTACAACTGTACGAGGTGCAGGGCAATTATCAATCTCTCCAAAGAAAAGTTAAGGATAATAACAGGTTTTCTGACGGGTCACTGTAGACTAAGAGGTCACCTATGTCGTTTATGCTATGTGACTGAGCAGACTCCTGTGCACCTGCTTAGCGAATGCGAGGCTGTCGCGAGAAGACGGGAGAGGTACCTGGGCCAATACTGGCCAATCTCTAGGGCACAATAGATCTCTTGGTCACATTGCATACCTCTATTAATTATCTATCTTATACCAAAAGAAGGGTAAATCGATTACCAAATGCATTTTGAAAATAAATTTTGCAAAATAAAAATCAAAAAATTTTAGGATTTTTTATTTGAAGTTTCTAAGGTTATTTTGAATTCGCTGAGAAGAAAATGCAACCCTGCGCCGGCTGAAGTGGGCAATGCTAGATGAGTGCAGCTATATGTTTTCCTTACGAAGTATCTGAATGAGTGCGACAGTGATGCAAGGCTCACACGTACAGGGGGAAACTGGTAAAAATCTGGATACCGCCCATCCAAAATTGACCAGATTTTTCGCCAGTTTTGAAGTGTATGAAACCCGCGGTTTCACCAGATTTTTCACAACTTTTGGCTGGCAGGGGTGATTGAGATAATTGGACACGTATGAATATATTAGTGAAAGAGACTGATTCCCTGTGAATGCCGCTCAGGGCCTGTCGGTATGATGACGGGTCCAGAGGTTGTTTAATGAACCTCTGGACTTCGTCCGTTAGTTCGTAGAGATGCCTCCTGACGTGCCTTGGCGAGGGCTCTTCTGCAAGCAGCTGTCTACTGGGATGGCCACGTCTGTGGCTCCCCACAAGGAACTGCTTGCAGAGCATTATATTATGCTCTTTGAATGGGAGTATCTGGGCCTCGTCATGTAGGTGGTGTTGGGGCGTCATTAGGAGGCATCCGGTCGCTGTTCGTAGTACCGTGTTTCGGCATGTCTGTAGCTTCATCCACTGCGTCCTGCTAGTCCCGGCGACCACACGGGCGCTGCATAGTTTAGAACCGGTCGGCCAATTGCCTTGTATGTTGCCACCAACGTTTCTTTATCTTTGCCCCAAGTGCTGCGGGCCAGCGACTTGAGGACATTGTTGCGGCTCTGTACTTTATTGACAATTGCGGTTGTATGCGCCGAGAAGGGGAGCAGACTGTCGTAGGTAACTCCGAGAATTTTCGGGTTATTCACCGTCGGTATTGTTACGTCATCAGCGTGAATACCCAGTTGCAGTCTGACCTCCTTCTCTCAATTTTCCCATTCTTCTTCTTCCTGATAATTATATGCTAGGTCCTTGTTATGCAGACAAACTTTTGTTTGCCAAATTAAATGTCGGCTGCTTAGTTTGCTCGGAGGTGGTTATGTCGAGTTTGGCACAGGGTTGCACGTTCATTATGGTTTTCATGGCTATTGCCAACACGAAATGAGAATTCCAGATGTACATAACGCGCACAATTAATATATTTTTTATGATATCGTATAGGCAATTAACTGTGCCCTAATCTTTGAAGCTCCTACAGCATAAATTCAGTTCTCTGGCTTTCGGTATCACGGCAATTTTTGTGTATAGCAACAATTGTCTAAAATTTTTGTATATGACAACACCGAATTTGCTACAGTTTGACCAAACAAAATTAGTTTGCTGTGAGAGTCGCCAAACTCGCTCTCTCCGAGTTTGCTGCAACAACAATTGCACGCAGTTTGCCAAACAAAATTTCTGCATAACACCGACACCAGAAAACAAAGAACGTAAATCTATACGCTCCTGATGTTTCCACTCGTTACAATTATAACGTGTTGCCTCTTCTTATAGATTTATGCAGCGTTTTTGCTGCATTAAAAATGCAACATTTAGCACTTTCGAACATATGTTTTCGAAGAGCGTTCATGCTATAGCATTTAGCAAATGTACATTTACGCGAGTTCGAAATCGTATGCTTTTGACAAACAGCCGTGTTCCAGTCTCTTATTTAGATGCGTATATATTACGATCAATTCTCACGCAGGAGATAATGTGCAAAAACCCTACTGAAAAGGAAAAAATAAATTTTAAACCAAAAATTCAATACAAAAACTTGTATTGTTTTAACCATAACCGAAAATTTGTTTGTGTATATATTCATTTGTCGGTGCTGTCAATTAAAATTTTCTCACTTAATTAGGAAACAAAACGAACCGAGTTGATCACAAATTGATCCAGATTTCTATCAGCATCAAATCGATGTTGAATTTGCTTAACTTTTCTTTATCCAAATATGTAATGCAAAATAAAAGAAATGTCGATCGGCGATCACTGAAACGTAGCTAGCAACTGTATACTCGAAAAAGCAATGTTGCCACTTTTTCTCTTTAAACCATGTTCGAATCGTGGAAATTTTGGAAGATCACAGGGTTGCTTTTAGCATTTAGATTCTTAATGCAAAAATGGAGTTGCATTTAGTTGCATTTAGGTGACGAATTTTGTATGGATAAATGTACATTTAGGGTAGCATTTAGAGCTAAATGCGCTAAATGTGCTTTTACGCGTAAGCAAAAACAGCCTATTACGTTCTTTGTAGAAAAGAAAAGAAACAAAGCCCATTTAAGCTCAAAGTCGATTGTTGTTATCGAAATCGCCGTAGTCGTATGCTTTGTATACATAATTGTTTAGTATTTAGTTTAATTTGCGTAAAATGGATTTTATTGATGATTTTATAGAGGAGTACAAAAATAATCCTTGTCTTTGGAAAGCTGATTGTACTAATTTCAAAAATCGCACAAAGCGTCAAGAGGCCTACTTGAAATTAATTGAAGTGGCAGCAAAGCATGGGGAACACTATAATATTGAGAGAACAAAGCAAAAAATTAATAATCTGAGATGCGCGTTTCGTCAACAATTGAAAAAGATTATTGAATCCAAAAGTAAAGGGGTTAAAGAGGAACCATACTGTCCTAAGCGTAGATACTTCGAATCTTTAATGTTTCTAAAAGACGAAGAAAACTTGGAGAGAAAGGCAAAGCGAAGCAGTGGAAACGGTGTATCAAATACCGAAGAACTTGATACCAGCATACTGGAGCAAGAATGTAAATTGCCCAGGAACTTGGCAGATAATATAGGCGAGGGGGAGAGAACTTCAAAGTCACTATCTCAGAATGAATTGTTAGAAGAACAAACCATAGAGGAATGTTATACTGAGTACAGCGACGAAGTCTACCATAAAATCAACGATTTAATTCCCCACGAAAAAAATGTAAAAGATAAAGTATATGAGTGTGAAAAGGAAACATCTTTCCTTACGGAAACTAAAAGTAGTCGAAAGCGTTCTTCATCTACATCTTCTCAAATATCAAAGGAAGCTGAACCTGCCAAGAGAATTTTTAAAATCGAAACACCCACGATAGACTTGGAAAAACTGTGTTCGTTGACGTGCAAGGGACATAATAGCACTATGGAAGACCATTTCTCTAGCTTCGGAAAAGTTATTGCACACAAGCTCCGGACAATGGACGGTTCCCAAGCCATTTATGCTGAAAAAATCATAACAGACGTGTTATTCCACGGTCAGATGAAAATGTTATCTGTATCGAGTATAAACCAGTTTTTAAATGTTAATTTTTCAGATTTATGCGAACCAGTTCGAATTAATAAATAATTTCACTAAGCATTAATATGACTCAAATCATTCAAAGTTTTAAAATTAAAGACATAAATAAGTTTCAATAGATAGTTTCCCCACCCTTTGTCAATGATTGTACGACAGTTATTTCTCGAGTTTTGTTATAAAGTTATATTTATTTTCAAACTAATCTTAATGTTTAACATCAGTTGTTTACGGCTGAAATTATGTTGATAAAAATTGTTTAACCAAAAAGGACGAAACATTTGATACTTTGTTATACAAATCTAATTCATGCTCTTATGAAGTTTAATTTATCTTATACCAGTCCAAAGTATCAGGCTTCGTTGCAGATGCATTCAACATGCTATGCACGTCGCTGAACATTTCATTACATATGTTGTCCTCGAGCTGAAATGAAAAGTTTAATTTTTATTTTATTTTGGAATGGCTAGGTAAAAATACCTGTAATGACGACACGAGATTATCCGGGCAATCGATACCACTTAAAGCATTAAGGCTACCTGATTCTAAAATACATAAAAAATGTTATTTTGGGCATTACTTATGAAATGTTTTACAGTTTTAGACACTAAACATGCATTACAAAAAAAATTAAATCACTAATATCTAAAGAGGCACATTTTATTTTGCGAGTACTTTTTATTGAATATGTTTGCAAAAGCCGATTTGAAAATTTTGTAAAGAAAACGTATTAATATAAGAGATAGCAGTTAAGATTGAAGCTCTCAAAAACTAAAAAGAAGTTAAAATAAGCCCTCTCTCCTCCCTCCCTCCTCCCTCAATATACTTTTCTATGATGTCTGTAAATATATGTAATAAACCATAGCGACATGTATTGAGCAAAAAATATATAAAATGTTACAGAAGGGTTTAAATACCCGATCTTTAGGAGTATTAAAAAAAAGCCAAGGTATTATGTAATGGAAACAGAGGAGACGTCATAGCGATGTTGTAGCCCTTATTGCAATGCATTTTCGATCTGTACATACATATGTACATCATTCGTGAGAATAAGTTATCAACTATACATATCGCTCATAATAATAAAAAAGGCAATATTTTAAAATTTTAGCTTTGTGGAAAAACGCAATCAAAATTTGATCAATTCATACAATTGGTATCAGAGATTGGCAAACGATGCTGTTTTTGTGACTTAAAACCTCCTCACATTAAAAACGGGGGATGAACGAACACCAGCAAATAGCGTGCAGTGCTTGCAAATACAGCCACCACAGGTGCACGAAACTTATAACAGCTCATACTGATGTTGACTTCGGCAAACCAGTATTCCGAATTCTCTGGGTTTGGATCAAACTTTGAAGAAAACTTAAAAAAAAATCTACAAGGTTTCACCTAAATAGCAAACTTTTTAATTAGACTCTAAACAAATTTACTTTTAGTATAATAAAGCGTTGAGTTTTGGCAATTTTTTTTCTTGATAGTTTTTCCTTCCAGTGCCAGTTGAAAATTCTTGAAAATAAATAAATAAACGCCTAAATGGCCTACAATATCACTTTGAAATGGCGTGCTATAGATATGACCGATACTGTATATATATACATACAGGGAAAAAGTGGACCAGTGTTTCAAATCAACATAATTAAACTTTCTTTGTAATAAAGTCTAATATACGTAAGAATAGTGCATGCTAAGTTTGTTAAGCTTTTAAACTGATAATTTTAAAGATTGCATTACCACTTATGCAATCCATACTATCATCAATGTTCGGCATAAGGTCTGTCGTAGCGGAAAACGTATTTGAAGACAAGCTCAAACCACTATCACTTGATTCTTGCCGTGCGTGATTGTCTCCGGACAAAAATGGGTCCATTTGAAGACTTCCATTTTGTCTAGTCAAAGAACTCTGAAAAATTATGGTTAATACATGTTTGATCGTATTGAAATCGGTACGAACCTGTTCGGAACTTTGTTTAAAATAGTCCTGCTCCTTATCAATTTGTTGAATGTTCAGCCATGATGGACCCGGTTTTTGTGATTTTACTGGTTTTTGTAAAAAATCGGCTGCAATAAAATTGTATAAGTACGTATGTACATAAGTTAATAATGAATTAGATGTGCTGAAGAGCTTCTGAAAAGCCTTCCAACGTTTGTTATCGTTTCAAAATGGCAGAACTTTTTGAAACCGCTTTTTCACACAATGATTTGCAACTAATTTAATGCGTATACACAATTTCAAAGAGAGGAAATAATCAAAGTAATTAGTGTATTGAGTTTTATTTTGTTCACTCAATAATAATTATTAATAAAACTCAAAAAAAGACCATACCGGTTACCAAAGTTGCATTCTCCGAAGAACCCTCTTAAACCACAAAACAATAAAATGTGAAAAATCATTATATTTAGGGAAAAAAGAACACCCAAATAACTAAACTCAATAGAGAATCATTACTATTAATCTACAATGTAAAATCAAAATATATGGTTGATTGTTAATTTATATTATTCAACTTATTATTGCGGACCCTGTGATAAGCACTTAATAAAAACGAACTCTTCCAGCCATGCCTAATTAAGGTTAGTAAAAAAAAACACAATTCATAGTAATAGCACTGTCAGACGGGACAATATTTCCACGCAATTCGCTATCAAATCGAGAAGGGGAAATTTGAATTTCTCGTTAGAACACAGATATTTTTGTCACTTTTTGGAAATATGATTCAGAAAAAAAAGTTGTAAGTTGTGATTGCAACTGAAAGAGCGCAAATCGATTTCGGAAATAGATACATAGACGTTGTTCACGCTTGCCTAGTTATCAGCTTATCTGGTTAAAAATAATTTTTCTGTAGTGTATTCCAATTTTCTTGTGCTAGAATTTGTATTTTGCTTGCAACACAGTATAGCCCGCAAGTGCTGTCAAACAATTTAAGTGTTGAGGTAATTTGTCGAACTAAATGTCAAAAATGATTTATTTTACCGAATATAATTGTTTGTTTATCAATAGGGTACAACACGAACAAAAGTATTGGCACAGTGAATTTTTCGCCATATATGCAAAGTTTTTTACTGTAATTTATTTTCGATAATTTTTTATAAAAATATAGTTCATTTTACACCAGAAAACGTAATAATAAAATCTCTAAACTTTGTGCAAAACTCAGGAAAATTCTTTAAATTTCCACACTAATTTGCAACTTTTTATTCAGATTAAAAAAAAAAATTCAAAGTATGCAGTTTAATAGCCCATTCAAGTAGTAACAAAGTGCAAGTTTAAAGTTGCTAGAAAATCGCGTTGATTTTTGGCAATTTTTTTAGTGGAAGGTGTTGCTCATTTTCTCCATACAAAAAATAATTGTCGAATTACTTTGTATGGAAGAACTTGCGTGAAAAAAAAATTCCAAAAATCAATGCGATTTTCTAGCGACTTCAAACTTGCACTTTGTTGTTCTAAATTTGAATGGACTATAAAACTGCATACTTAGAATTTTTCTGAAAAATCTGAATAAAAAGTTGCAAATAAGTGTGCAAATTTAATGAATTTTCCTGAGTTTTGCACAAAGTTTATAGATTTTATTATTATGTTTTCTGGTGTAGAATGAACAATATTTTTACAAAAAATTATCGAAAATAAATTAGAATAAAGAACTTTGCATATATTGCGAAAAATTCACTGTGCCAATACTTCTGTTCGGCACTGTATATAAATTGAAAAATATGCATCTAAAGCTCAAAAAATATTCCCATCAAATATGGTACAAAACTTCAAATTACAGAAATCCCTATCCCACTAAATTCTAGCGTAATAACGTGCAAGCTTCAAGTGGCTAAGAATTCGCGCTGATTTTCGATTTTTTTTTGCCGGTGGTGTTATTTTCTTCCATACAAAAAAAAAACAATAAAAATTTGAACATACTTTGTATGGAAGAAAAAACAAATTATCAAAAATCAATGCGAACACTCAGCCACCTGAAACTTGCACTTTATTGAGCTAGAATTTAACGAGCTATAAAACTGCAAACATAGAAAAAGTTCTTAATAAAAAGTTTTTGTAAAAATTGATATTGTTTGCAACTCCTGTTTAGTTATTTATTTCCAATAATTGTAATTTAAAATATATCGTCACCTGAAATGCAAAAGGACGTAACAAACATCGTTGCTGAAATTCAAAAAGGCGTAACTAATTCAAAAAAAATTCAAAATTAAGTTTTTGATTGATATGATCGATTTCATCGAATTACAAACAACTCCATGATTTAATGAAAAAAATAAAAAAATTTAGTCACGACTTTTTCCATTTGAGTTACGATGCTGTTACGTCTTTTTTATGATATGTAGTTCGATATATAACAAAAACCACAGAAATAAAAATTTCAAAAACTACACAAAGTTCACAAACATTAATCAAACTTCCCAAAATTTCAAACATCTTATTTAGAATTTTATAAAAATAGATTTTGTTCATACACTAGGTTTATTCCACAAGCTACTCGAAGTCACTTCGAGTTACACATACGCGTTCCACAAGTTTTAGAGTTTATTTGATATACGCTGACCTTTTGAACTTTGCTCGAGTTTTTCTACAAGTATTATATAAACGAAAATGCTGAACACCCTCGACAAATCAATTCTAAAAAATCAACGGTAATTTTTAGTGACTTAAAACTACATTCTCGCAATTTTCTAAACACTGTATAAAAAGTTTTAAATTTTGATGAACATTTGATTAATTTTATGTTAACTTTGTGCATTTTTTAACTTTTTATTTCTGTGGTTTCTATTATAGATCGAACCAAGGAGTATTAGACAAGGTGTGATTGATAACAAAGTGCGGCTATCATTTAAGGTACTATAACGTCAAAAAATATAAACAAACGACTCAAAATTCATAATTTTTTTTTTTTTTCAATTTGACTGTATAGGATGCTTCCTCTGAGAGCAATATCAAATTCAATCACACTTTGTTAAATACATTTTGGATCGAACTATATTTTAAATGGAAATCATTAAAAATAAATAAATAAACAGGAGTTACAAACAATATCTTTTTGATTTTACTGCTATTATTTTGACCGCTGCGGTATATAGTTTTTGTTAGATAATGAGCTGCATTTACAAAAAAAAAAAGGAAAATAATCCAAACTGGTCAAAATGTTGTGTAACAAACAGTTTTCACATGACTATATTTATTTGATTAATTACTTACGTATTCGGGGATCATTCCAAGACGTTGTTCGGTTTACATGGTTTATAAAGTATACGTCTCCAGATTCTGTGTATGCTTGCTCCCATCCCTCCGGGAGTGGTCCCAAGTTTTCAGCCAAATTGACAGATTCTTTATTTTTCAAATTTACTAAAATTTTATGTTATTATTTGCTTAAAAATTAATAATAATTTTTACTTACCACTATGTGGAAGTCCTTCTTGAAATAACTGCTGTTTTAATTGGATCCTTGGATCTTCCCACTGCGTCGTTTTTGTTGTGTGGCTACAAATATAAAAAAAAGACTAAATTAACAACACACTTTTTTCTATTAAAAAGCCAAATAAATAAGCAGTAGGTAGTATTGTCCAATAAGCGCGACAACGGCAAGGCACTATTTTCTAATGAAAACTACTTTCACTCTACTTAAGACGTTTAACCTTTTGTACGTTATCTATGTATTTAATAAGTAATTTATCATGATTATGATGTATGTATGTTTCTTTTCAAATTAATAATTGTATTTTGCGGTGTCTCATAATTTTAATACCAAAACAATTTTAGTAATTACTATAATTTCTATTCTTAGATTAAAGTTTTAAATATTTACTTTTTACCCTGCAAATGAATTATGAACGCATCTACCCACTCTGTGCCTACTATTCTATATGATAGTGAATCAAAGACAATTGAATCTAAAATATATATGTACTATACAGTATCGGTCATATCTATAGCACGCCATTTCAAAGTGATATTGTTTGCCACTTTTGTTTATTTATTTATTTTTAAGAATTTTCAATTAAAATACAGTTCTTTCTCTAACAAACCCCATATAAACCCAAGTTTAACAATTTGTAGAAAACTTCAAAAAAGTGCAACAAATTTTCACCTAAGTTTCAAACTTTTTTCTCGGAAGTGTTGGAATTTTTTTGAGTACACAGTTTTTTAGCCACTGCAATTTTAGTCTGATAACGTGCAAATTTCAAGTGGCTACGAATTACCGTTAATTTTTTTGAATTTTTTTTGTCGCATTGGCTTCCATATAATGAATAAACTCAATTTATTTGTATATGGAAGAAATCCTCAACACCTTTGGCGAAAAAAATTCTAAAAAATCAACGGTAACTTTTAGCCACTTGAAACTTGCACATTATCATACTAAAATTGAAGGGGCTAAAAAACTGTGTACTCAAAAAAATTCTTACACTTCCGAGAAAAAAGTTTGAAATTTAGGTGAAAATTTGTTGCACTTTTTTGTGGTTTTCTACAAATTGTTACACTTGGGTTTATATGGGGTTTGTCTGAGAATGAACTGTATTTTAATTGAAAATTCTCAAAAATAAACAAATAAACATAAGTTGCACACAATATCACTTCGAAATGGCGAGCTATAGATATGACCGATACTGTATATGTAGCTATGTATATGCGATGTGTTAATTATAAAGGTATGCATCGGAATTCAGTTTGCTTCACACAATATGTTTCGAAAAAGGGAGACATAAATCAGCAGTACCATGCTGTTAAACTTACACAAAAAAGATGTTCCTTCACAAGTACTTGAGTATTTTTGGAAGTTTTCGTTTAATGCTACATAATGCTAATGTTAGAGCTGACTCTTATGTTAAATAGCAAACATGGAGAAACAATGTAGGGCGCTCCAAATATTGAAGCCAACAGCATATTTTTATAAAGAAAGTGGACTAATACGATACTTTCATTTCCCAATACCAGGCGCTCATACATAAGAAACCCCGCAAACATATTCTGAGCATTCACAATATATGAGTCCGAAAGGAGTCCTAGGTAGGTAAGAAATGAGTTAAAAAAAAAAATTGTTTACATTTATATGAATCGCCAATATAAAAACAAAAAAGATGAGAAATTTATATCTAAATATGTTTATACAGAGATTGAAAATAATTAGAAAACAAAAAATGTAAGTATGTACATACATATGTTATTTAAAAAAAATTTCTGCTGAATATCTTTGCAAATATAGTGCGTTCAATAAGACTCAAAGAACAACCTAAAATAAGAGCTGGAATGTAGTAATTTATGAGGCCGATAAGAGCCTCAAAAAAGGGTCTGAAATTATTAATATGTATATGAGGCCATAAATTGTTAAAAAAAAGAAGAGTCCAAAATGAGCCGCATAAGATGCCAATTAGATTCCAATATGACTCATATTCAGGCTCATTTGATGTATGAATTTAAGCTCATATAAGTCGACCTTCGGAGGAAGGGAAACATCCTCATATCGGACTCTTAAATGAGCTAATTATGAGTGTAAAGCCTCCGAAATAGGACTCCGTAAAGACTCATTTAAGACTCTAAATGGGAAGTAGCAAGCATGATAAAAATATAGTAAGGTAGAACCGTTCTCTCAATTTGTCGGCCATGATTTTTTTTTTGAAGTTTGCCAACATTTTAAAATCATATAAAAGTGAAAATAAAAAAATGAAATTGTTCGAAATTGTTGTTGCTTGAGATTGAAAATGAAAATGTGTGTGTGAGTTTGTGAGTAAATTTAAAAATCAAACTGTTTGAAAACGTCAAGAATTTTAAAAGCGACTCTCAGCGGTTCTACCCAAGCATGATACAAAAAAGAAGGTAGTTTCATTTCGAAAATTTTTGACAAAAAATAAGTTTTTGAAGTTTCATAAATTGTACAAAATTATGATCTACCTTGCCACATTGATAGCAATCAAACAATACATCAGAGGGTTTAATGTTGTGCGTGTAAAATGATTTTTCGGTGGGGAGCGGAGGAGGAAGGTGTGTGTCACCTAAAACTCATTAAAAAGAGCTCAGTATACTTTACTCAGTATACACTACTTTAAGAAAATTCATCATTCGTCCCCCTGCCCCTTCTACGGGCACTCGGGGGCCCATTTCAAAATGGGATAAAATTAGTATTTTCGCAAAGAAAACTTAAACACGTGTTAGGCCATCAGCAGGACTCTTTTCCGCGTTGGTGGCCTTCGGCCGCGGTAGAAAAAATAAGCTCATCAGTCCAGATCCGGTTACGCCAACCGCAGTATATTTGCGCAAAATCGACATCCAAATTTACAAAAAAAGTGCATAGTTTAACCCAAAACCTTTCTTTAAAATTAAATCTTAGTCCTTTGGTTAGACGCATATGTTAAATTTTTTTGATTCGGGTCACGTGTTTGGACACGATAACCCAAAAGCATTGTACAAATATCCGAACCGTACCCAAACTGTTTTACTTATGCATTTTTCTAAAAACAAACATTTTCTAAAATGAAACTGCAGTAGTTTTCATCTTATGTGGATACTTCTTGTCGTTCTTGTTGTTTCGTGCTTATATTTATGTATGTGTATTTTTGTAATATCTTTATCAGAAAATTGCGAGAATCCAAAATTGGTACCATTACAAGTTGCAGGGCATCATTTTAACTCGATCTACACCCTCTTCCACGTATAACGGTACACCGGTTAGAGGTTTAAACATATTTTGTGGCAGCAATTTTTCAGCAAACTGCATTAGATCGGTAAAGCAAAAAACTTTATTTTCGAACCTTTGCACAGGTGTATCGAATTCTTTCAGTTTGAAAACGCGCAAGACTTTTCTTTGAATATTTTCATCCAACGTCACAAACTTCAATTTTTTTTTTACTTTTTCAAGAAAAAAATGTTGCTGCTAGTGAATCTGGTAGCATGATTTCAGTTAAATGTCATAAACTTATTAAAAGTCAAGTGGTCGGCAACAACAACGAATGTCTATAAATGAAACTACCTTCTATTTTTTTATCATGAGTATTCCTATACTTCCTATGAAGTTTTCAAATACTACTGAATGTGTTTTATGTTGCAGAGCACTGTAGAGTAACATTGCTCAGTTCCTCAAATTTATGATGTTCTTTTTTTTGTTCCTATCTTTTTAAGTACTCTAAAATATATTTACTCATATACACATGTGAAGAGTATTTCTGCTGGTATATTTGCAGTGCTTTATTAACTATTGATTTATAAATTTACTTACTTTAAATAATAAATCTGACCATCATTAGTTTTTGCTTGCTCCCATCCCGGAGGCAATGGTCCTAGTTCATTTTGTAACTGTATAGTACTGACAACATCATATGAACGTTGTTTCATATGAAATGTCTGAATTGCATTCGATCCATCTTTAGTCACTGACTGGTCGACTTGATCCATTCGGACTCCCGACCCAGCATTAACGCCTGGAGGAAATTGTAAGGCGTTTGATGTATAGACAGGTCCAATGCCATCCTGCAAGCATGCACCTGCTTCCATTACGTTACCTATATGTACATTATATGTTTGTTGAAGTGAAGCTGGGCTACTATGCGCACGCGAATGAGAAATAGCCAGTCTATTTGCTGCTACTTGTGGCTGTGTTATTGTAGCCGGAACTGCGGCTATAGAGCTCGTGGAAATATTTCCTTGGCTAACATTGGGCTGCGAGCCAGTGTCATAAGCAGAATCAGCGCTATTAGCGCGTGAATGTGCTACAGATGGTGACCTCGACGTCGTTGCAGGTGGCTTGAAAAACGATTCTGGTAGTTGACGCATACGAAAAGGCACTTGTAGTGGACGTTTTGATTCTCCTGGATTTAAAACGCTATCAAATAGGGCTTGCAGATTATTATCTGAATCTTGATCTATGCGAACAACCAAGTTGTTCGACTCTTTTCCTGTAGATCGTTCTTTTTCTTTTGCATTGCCTTTATTAAGGCCACCCACTGTTTTACTTAAAGACATGTTACTAAAATATCCACTGGTAATTATTCGTTCTGTGTTGTGCATATACCAATAGAGAATCTTAAAATGGCGGTTGTATGGCTTATTCCAACCTTAGGCTGCCATCGTAAAAGAGCAAGTAATTATCTACCAAACTGAAGAATTTGAGTTTCTTAAGGCTTTTTTGCAGTACTTGACAGATAAATAATACTCCTTTTCCCAATTTTCTTCATAAATTCGATTAATTTCGTGTAACTTTCAACAAAAAAAATTAAGACACAACTTTTATGAGAATACAGGGTTACCATCACTAATATAAAAGCAAACTACGTACGATCTTGACTTCCTGTTGCAGAAGTCTAAACCTATGTTCACAATATAATTTGATTTTTACACGTTTAAGCGTAGGCAATTTCATAAAATCATTTCACGAATATGGGTTATGATTGGCTGCATTAACACAATTTCATGAATTCAACTATACACCCATGAATTTCCATATGATTTCATGAAATCGTGGGGTGCAAGTCCGGTAACGCTACGTTTCACAAACAGTTGTTTACTAGGGTTATGATTTTTTTTAGATAAAGGTTAAAACATTGGAAAAGTTACGTGGATTTGTTGAAATATAAAGTAAATTCAAAGAGAAGAAATTCAAATACATTAAAGCCAATTTAAATATAACATGGACCATTTCCTGGTACCAACGGCTTTTGCAAATTTAAAACAGAAAAAAATACAACCCTACCTGTTGGTTTCTCGCTGGTGCGCTGCCACATTTTCAAAAGACTTAATTTCATAAATTCGCGAATTATGCATAAACGGGACCATTTTTGAATTCATGCCGATTTGTGACGTGCGCTTTAAACTATGTTCACATATCAATATTATCTCAATCAAAGCTCGTTTTTTAATCACCCCGTTTACACAGGCAAATCTCAGATTATTAGCCGTCAAATTTGATGTGCTTGTTATTCTCACATCTCAAGGAAAAGTTATATTTCTTCTCTGTGCAACCGTGATCAAGTTTTTCTGCTATATTAAGCAATATAAATATATTTTAACTTAACATTTTATTAAAAAAAATACCTTTAAAACCCTCCTTTCCTTGCTAGCGTCCATTTTTGTTTACTTTTACATTTGCCATTTCTCCTCTTCTTCGCAAAAACAATCGATAAAACTAGGATGGACACCGAAAAGTTATCGGTTAAATCTGAGATTATTTTCTAATTACAGATTAACAAGGGAGGAATTTTATATGGCTAATCTCTTTTTCTAATTACAGATTAGGAAGTTAAGCTCGAAAATGAGGATAATCTACTTATATGTGAACCTAGTATTAATGTTGTCACACAAAGGGAGAGACTACCAGTTTAACGCCGACTCCGAACGGCGATTGTATTTTTATAAGAAGCTGTTTTTTAAGGCAGAAATACAATCAGTTGTTTGCCATTGACTGCAGAGGGGCGATCGCTGTTAAGAAAAAACCTTTTTGCTATATTTTTTGCGATGTTGCTTTGACCAGGGCTTGAACCCAGGCCCTGCGGAATGGAAGCGCGAACTGCTAACACACTTTTGGTCATAGGTAGTAAATTGTAGCAGTAGTACCAAAGCAGAAGCAAAAGGGCTATTTTCCATGATGAAGTATTACCAAAGAACATAGATAATAAGAATGGATAACTCGTTATAGTTGTAGCGAAAGTGAGTAACAGGGGCTTGCCTTCTCTTTTGCCTTAGTTTTTTGATTGGATGAAAAGAGAAGGCGCGCCCCTGTTACTAACATGCGCTACAATTTTCTGACTATTTCTGGGAGATAAGGAACGCAACTATTGCATCATGAGTATTTTTTACTATCAAGATTTTGTTCTAGTGTCAAGTTATATGAATTTTTTCGGTGTAGTACTGAATGATAATAAGCGTTTTCATTCAACCAACATTTATAATCACGATGATTGTGAATGCTTCTGTTACATTCATATTCTTTACTGAATGGAACTCTACTATTCAATAACACATTACAGTTTGGTTGTTTTAAATTAATTTAAGCCACTCAGGAATGAGTTTTTTTTATACAAACAAATAATCCAAACTTTGAAAAGAAGAGAGAATGCAGATCCTACTGAATCAATCATTTTACAACCCTGGGGGGCAATTTATGTTCTGTGAAAACATGAAGCGAAACAATTTTTCATTACTTCACATAAAATTAAGATTCTGTTTTTAAATGTATATTAATTAATTTATCAAAAATTGTTGACTGTGTAAACTTTTTTTCATAAATAGTGCGTTCCAGAACGTCTACGATTTGCAGGTTTTGCAGGATTTAGTTCAAAGTCGTTCCCGTACGCCACGTTCACATAATGTTTATTAAAGGTGAAAACAGCTGTTACTGGAACAGGCTAAGGGCCGGTTGTTCAATGTCTGATTAGCACAAATCGGAGGTAGAAGCTCCGGTTAAGCACAACTACTGCTTTATCGATCACATGTTACATGCATGATGTCGAAATCGTCGATAGTGTAGTGGTAGTGATAACCAGACATTGAACAACCGGCCCTAAAAGTTTTGTGGCAGTGAAAACGAGAAGTTGGGCGTGTTTCTCAAAACCATCATCTTGTGTAAAGGAATATCATTGTCTTAGACTCACAATAATTTATTAAATAAATACTTGATAGATGTTGATAGAATCGCCTTTAATTATCGAGAATCACTTAAAATGATATAACGAAACGATAAAGTAAAAAAATAAAATTTTCACTGACATTGAATTTTTCATTTTCACTTTACTGTTTCATATAATCAGATTTGGACCCTTGTTTGGGGACACACTTGTACCATATGTTATCGACTAAAGGACGAATTGATGCATGCTGATCATCCCTATTTAATTTTTTTTATTTTTTGGAAAATGGGATATTTCGTCAAACATGCCAGGAGTTTTGCAGTTATTGGAATAACTCTGTACTTATTGGATTATGTTGGGGTATTGAAGCATTGTAATGAGTTGGCTTATGGAAGCAACTTTAACTATCCGGCTGGTTCCCCCAATGACTATAATTATATGTTTCTCAACAACGCTTCAGGGAAATGCCCATCGTCACCTAGATTAATACTAATAGTAAAATCTGCTGTCGGAAACGTTGATCGTCGCAACAGTATTCGCCGTACATGGGGTTTAGAACATCGTTTCTCTGATGTAGAAATAAGACGTGTATTTCTGCTTGGCGTTAGTCGAGATTTGAATATGAATCGTATGGTGGAAAGTGAGTCAACAAAACAAAAAGACATTGTGCAGATAGATTTTTTAGATTCTTATTTTAACAATACTATCAAAACAATGATGGGGATGCGATGGGCCCTTACCTATTGTGGTAAAAGTGACTACTTCTTTTTTGTGGACGACGATTATTATGTATCGGCAAAAAATTTGTTGAAATTTGTTGCCGATCCCGACTCGTATCCAAAACCGACTCGAAAATTTATTGCTAGCAGTTTTATATTTGCTGGCTTTGTAATGCAAACACCACCTCACAGACATAAATTCAGCAAGTGGTATGTACCTCTCAGTGAATATCCTTTCGATTTATGGCCACCGTATATTACGGCAGGAGCGTTCATTCTTAATCGAAATGCGTTGTCTAAGCTATTTAACACAGCAATATATTTGAAAGGATTTAGGTTTGATGACATTTTCCTAGGAATAGCAGCGCTGAAAGCTAATCTGACTCTTACGCATTGCGATTTTTTTCACTTCAATAAACCGAAATATAAAAGTCTTTCAAATTTCCAATATACCATCGCATCACATGGTTTTGATAATAATATAGAATTGGAAACGATTTGGAATGAATGCCGTTCTTCCGGTTTTGCATAAGTGAATAAAAACATTGCGTTTATTTCTATAATTGCTTAAATTGGTCAGTTTAATAATTTATATTGGAATTCGTTGAAAATTTTTCTATATACATATGTATGCATGTGTGCATATATGGACTAGCTTAGTATTAAGTTGAAAATCATTATTGATATGAATAAACAATTTGTATTGAAAAATAGCCTTTCAAATTTCAAGCATACCCTTTTCTTTTCTGTATAATACCTTTTAAGTAGATAAGTATGTAAAGTTGGTTACCGTTTTTTTCTTTTTAATACGTACATATGTATCTTTTTCCATCCTTTGTTGTTGTTGTTTTTGTAGCGGCTACAACAACCCCGACCAGATCGGTTAGTATATTAGAAGTTGTCAAGCTCGGCTAACGGGAGACCCAAAAAGCGTGCAGCCTCTATAGGGTCTGTCCATAGGGACAGAGGCGTCAGTTGCGTAAGGTTTTCCGGGCATACGAATAGATGTTTCGAGTCGTCGGGTGTCTCTCCGCATGCCGGACATTCGTTTGGCACATCGCTCGGCGAACTAACCCCGTTTAGGTCGGTGAAATATCTCCATCGCTTGTTGAGATGGTTTGGTTTAAAAAAGAAAGGAATGTTGAGTGGAAGGCCTCTTTACTCTCAAGAAGTCCTTTTGAAAGGGGGTTTTAGGTCCTGAAATTATCTATTGGGGTATTCTAATTTAGGGCTTCGGAGCGGAGCGGATCAAAGGATTTTAGCTGGAGCGGAGTTGAAGCAAAGACCCAAAAAAAATCATTTGCTCCTTAGCTCCTTAATGAAAGATCTACGTATATTTTTATTTTTTGCAACCTAAAGTAACTGCGTTAAATAAATTTACATTCTATTTTACTAGGCAATACTGTTAATTGCACAATTGGGTGGTCTGCGGGGGAAAAATATGTAAAATATTTATATTAAGCCTCTACCTCTAGGATTTTTCCAAACTGGAAAATACCCACATTTTTTTCTTCACTTCGTAAAAATGGTATAGAATTTTTGAAAATCAATATGCTTATCATGAGTTTAATTTTCCCAGAACCGGTTTACTTTTCACTCTTGGGTTTCATGGTTTTACTATGGGCGGATGACAAATTTTCCGGGTGAATTTTTTTTTCAGGTGAAACTCAGGATAAGGCAGAATCTTTTTCGGAAGCCCTGTTTCTCTTTAGGAGACCTCCAACAACAATACCAAATTATTTATTTAAGCATTTTTTAATATTAACTATTTTTATAGGTTCCCCAAAAACCCCAATAGGTCAATGACACTTGCAACAAATGTGTGATGTGTACATAAATACTACATACATATGTAGATCGAGCCCTAAGCGCCAAAATAACGTAATCGGCAATTTTTTTATTTCCTTTTGGATGCAGAAGTGCTCCAAATACAATAATTGCTCAAAATTTCTGCATCAATTTTCTTTTTGATAACAAACAAATTCATTGAATCATAAATTGAAAATCAAGAATTTAAACGAGTATAAAAACATACAAGTAAAATACCCTACATATACTTATATATAAAAATTTGTTCGATGATGACTACGACGAAAATAGTAAAATATGGAATTTTCTTGTTTTGTTTTTGTTATTGACACTGATGCTTTTGTTGCTATTGCTGCATCAGCTGTTGTTGATTATTTAAATTGTTTTTGAAATTGTTGTAGCTGTTGGTTAGAAATGTTATTGCCGATAAGTTCCTAGTGTTATGCTGTATGAAGTAGCACAACAGTGACTAACGATTGTGATGTTGAACTGTTGGCTGTTGTTGTTGTTGTAGCAGCATACAAGTTCCCCAAAGGGTTTTTGGGGAGTGTTGCTGGAGCGACAGTCCTTGGCCAGATATAAATCTGGGTCGTTCCGGTTACGTGTCTGTTGTATACTTTGATGCTTGACGGGATGAACGGCTGCTGTATTGGTAGCACGGCCGTTGAATAAGCAAGTTGTTGAATAAATAGTAGTTTAAATTTAAATTAATTGATTTTGTAAATATATGATGATGTTAGGACTGAGGAAAGCTCATTAGCTGGTTGTATGTACCGTCACTAGGTGGAGGAAAGTTCCATTGTTCACGGAATAGCTTCGTCTGCGCTGGCCGTAGTTGCTGTATATGTATGTGCTTGATATTGCACTGGTGCAGCATTCGATTGGCCATTGCAAATACCTAACTGCGTTTATTGCTGATATGCGCGCTCATATGTTTGCTGTTGCAGTTGTACCCTCAATAATCAAAAATTTTCTTTTTGATAACAAATAAATTCATTGAATCATAAATTGAAAATCAAGAATTTAAACAAGTATAAAAACATGCAAGTAAAATACCCTACACCAGAACGGATATTGATCGGATATCCGGGTTTTATCCGTATAAACGAAAATTCGAATAGTATTAACTCTGTGATATATCGGTACATCGAACCATCTCCACAAAGGATGCAATAAAAGGTATATTTAAAAAGAAGACAGCTGAGTTAAGCGTTTGATTTGTATCCTTACTTTTGCTTGCTTTGGTGGCAAATAAATGCTTACTGTTAAAACTTAATAATTCGGTGATATGGTCCCCCCACACGCAGCAACAAATCTTTCTAATACAACGTACATTTTGTAAATTTGTGCTTTACTTCACACATGCCGAAAACACTATGACTGTTGATATCTACAGCCTCTATCTGAATTCAATGTCTCCAATCTGGTGAAACGAAGACGACTGACTGATCTGACGTTCTTCTATAAAGTCGTTAAGGTTATAATTGATTCTCCGGAAATTTTAGCTGAGACTGGTTTCATTTACTCAAGGACAGAACTAAGAACGAGGAGGCTTCTGGCTCCACTAAAAACTACGTCTTCTACAACCCAAAAAATATAATCAATCGCCGGGTGAACAACTACTCGTCGAACATCAATTTCTTCGGAGCCTCGTACTCTACATTTCTTGCCGACATCAAAAAACTTGTATTGATTGCGATGCACATTTAATGATTTAGTAATTCCGTCACTCATTGAAATAATCAGACTTTGGTAATGTGTGTCTTTTGTGTTTCCTCTCTTTAATTATGTATTTTTAACAAATTTTAAAATGCCGATTGGCGTAAAGTTCACAATAAATTAAATTAAGAAACATTAAAAAAATCTATATTTTTTTTATTATCGCCGCATTACTGAAAAAAGTATCTTTTATGCGTTCAAAAACGTAAAAACTGAAAAAATCACAATCTTTTAAGTAATTCTACATCATACCCTATTGTTTTTGGAATGCCAATTTCCAAATAGGATGTGCAAAGCGAATGCTTTGCATTAATGCGTTTTTGACAAAAATATCGATCGACAACATCAATGCAAGATACTCTAACTGACCAAAATGAAATTTTATATGAGAAAGTATCTGAGAATAAGCTAACAGCAAATAAAAAGCAATTCATAAAATATCTCAAATAGGGAATTTCGCATTGATGATAATGATTTATAAGCATGATTTAATAATAGAAAGGTTTTGTAATAAAACAGTCTTCTCGCTCCCACACATAAAATCGGCTCCTTTACTTGTGCAGAATGTTGCTCACTCTACAGTTTTTAGTTATATTAGTAGTAAAACCAAAAATTCTTCATACTAAATATTCGTTGGCGTCACCTTCGTTTGTGTAATTTTCTAGAACAAGTCTAGAATAGCGACAGTTTAGCTATAAATTAACAAAAAATGCCGATTGATAGAACTTTTTACGCTGATTTCAACGATACCAAATATATTTGGCGCAAGTAAAAAAAAGAAGATATAAGAGGTTTATTTGTATAAGAGGTTTATTTGTATTTTTTATTATCACTAAATTGTTGAAACCCAAAAGTAGATCATGATAAAATATGTAATATCGAATTAAAGATAATAACTTGTACTTTCTAAATAATATAAATTTCTTTTTCATTAATTATGCAGTTTTTTCAAAAAAGGTTATTTCATGAAAAAATAACATTTGTTCGTTTTTTAGTGGTTTTGGTTTAAAAATACAAAAAGCTATAAATTATGTACATCAGCTGAAGAACAAATCAATTACCTTTATGGTGACGTCATTAGTTTTTTAATCGGTTATAAAGTTCATAAGATATTTAAAATATCTAAAAACTGAACTTTAACCATCTAGAACCTCTTCATTTTTTACTTACGCCAAATAATTTTGGCATGGTTGAAATGAGCATAAAAAGTTCTATTGATCTGCATTTTTCGTTTTTGCATAGCTGAACGGTCGGTATTCTAGATTTGTTCCCGGAAATGACGAATAACTTAAATCAAAATTGCATATTTTTATGTATTGATTAGTATTTCAATTAAAACACCAAATATATTGCAAATTCGCATAGAATTAATAATACACATTTTACTTCTAATTGTATACTTTGCGTCCTTTTTGTAGTACCATTCCACTACCGTTTTCGCAAAATGCGATCACATTCTTCCCCTTTCTCCTACTTCCAAAATGCAAATCTAGATAAAGGAGTGTCAAATTTTAGCTGTCACAAATTACACAACCTTGTATTATTGAATCATGATTTATAAGTATGAACAAAATAAAATGCGAAAACGCATCAACTATAATATCAGCGAATGTATTTTGGTTTTCTCGCATTTTAACATAAAAATTAAATATGAGACTTAGAAATAGGGTGTAAGAAATGGTTAGTCGCCTTTCAAACGTTTAGTAAACTCTACTTGTTGCATTTCCTTCCATTCTTTCTTTGGTTTCATTCGTTTGAGCTGCCCATCCCAAACTAGATCTACTAGTCCGCCCTGTTTTGCTATGACACTTTTAACACGATTGGCAAAATCTATAGCCGATTCGCCCTCTTGTCGGTACATAGGTGGCAAGTACCAAACATCACATACAATAGCCCATGAAGTCATCATCATATATAAATATTGCATCATCGAATATTTTGAGCTATTCCAGAATGCATCTCCGAAACGAGGGTCGTATCTAAAATTAATCAAATTAAAGTAAATTCCAGATCAACATTTTTTTAAAAGACAAGCAAAAAGGGCATATAAAACATGAATAAAGTTACGCCTTCAATGATTTATTTGATTAAAAAAAGGAGTACGTACTTGATAGCCACCGGATAAATAACCCCTCCTACTTCGAAGCTGCCTTTTTTAAATTGCATAACGGATGTGTTGTTAATGCAGGTACCCTCGGGGAATATCAATATGGGAGGATTATTTGGATTTGATACGTGCTGTTTAAGGCGTTCGGCCACTGCGTGTCGATCCTTTGCCTCTCCCCTTTCAAACCAAATATGAGGTGATGCTCGAGCTAAAGCGCGTTGTAATAAACCCAAAAATCCACCATGCCGTTGGCCAATCTTCAAAATACATTATAATTTAAATACACATTTTCCAAGATATAAAATATAAGTATTTAATGTGGTGAATCAAAAATGTTACATATCGTTACCTTAGTATAGAAAGGCCCTAATCATTTTCTTTTCAAAACCAGCACTGTTGAAAGGTCTGCCGATTATTCGCTAAAAACCTATTGGATTTTAAAAATAACTAATACAGCATAATATTAATTACATTCTTCAACAAAACCCAGCATTTGAAAGAAATTCGCAGCAAAAGACCTTTATTTTCTATGGAGTTTTCTCATCACCCCATAAAGAAACCAAAATGTTAGATAGGGCCTTTCTATATTAAGGTAACTATGTATGTGTATGTAGTATGTCTGTCGCCGTCGAAATATTGAGTTATGAAAACCAAATAAGCTGATGTTTAATCTTCTTTGGTAACTTAAAAAACCTATGTATGCCCATACATAAGTACATAGATACATATATGATCAAAATAATAGAAGCACACATCCAGTTTATGTATAAAAAGTGAGTAGATTTAATACAAAAATAATGATATTTAGTTATTGCGCCAACTTAATAATATAAACACCTAACAAACTTAGACGAAATACTTCATATTAAACCTTAATCTGTCTTTAAAAGAACTTGCATTGTTGACCCTCATGCGTCATGCGTTTTCGACGCATATGGGATACCCAGTGTTTTCAGTAGATAGAGTGAAATCATGCACGTTGAAAACTAACAAAAATCTTGGTTTTTATGTATGTAACAAGAAAAGTTTTTTTTTTACTTTCTACCAGTCTCAAATAAGATTATTTTCTGTACACTTAAAACTTTATGATACAGTAAAAAATTTACTTAAAAGTTAAGTTGTACCGTTGTTTTTAAATTCCCACTTGTGTATCTATTAGGGTACAACTCCACAACAAGTTTTTTATCCGTTTAGCGATTTTCAGGCTGATACTCCTATTTTTATCATGGGAAATGCGTTGTTTCCACATAAATTCGGACGCATATGTAGGTATGTACTTTGTTTAAATGCTTTTTTAATAAAGATGGGTTTCTGCAATGACAATATAGTAACATAAACATTTCATTCCGACACACTCACAAAGCAAGCATACATGCATACATACCACGATTACTTCAATAACTGCAGTGGTAAAATATTTTTGAAATTTATGGCAATAATAAGTTGATTCAAATTTAAATTAATAAAAACAAAATATTTTTAAATTAGGGGTGTGTTCGAACTACGTAAGAGTTGCCGCAATATCGCTTTCTTGATGATATGCTGCTGATGATCAACTGAAATTTTGCAGAAATTTATGTATGTAGGTCGTAACACCGACCTTATCTGCTAGTGATGAATAACGAATTGACAAAATTTTGCTAATAGGATGCGTGATGTAGGCAGAGTAGCGTGATACTCTTTCATAAAAAAACAAAATTGCCGCATTTATTTAAGCGCTAATTAATTAAATAGTTTCGAAAATAATGTGTCACTATTTCTTGTATAACGGCAACTGTGTACATCTGACTGCCAACAGTTTAACTTAAATTAGTTAAGCTCTAATATACCCTTTTTTTTAATAGAAAACATGCATACACGTTAAAATACTAGGTAATCTTGTATGTACTATGCAGTAAAAATTAGCCGCGTTCGATAACACAAAAATGTGAAATAGTTATTCCCAATTTTTGCAAATAACGCCAAACAAATTATCCATCGCGCACTTTTATTTCGGTGCAAGAGAAATGTTTATTTTGTACTATTATATTGTATTTGTGTATATTGCCAGTTCCAACTGGAAATACTACAAGAAAAGCAAAAGCAACAAATTTTCTCGGAAAGAAAGGGGACTCGGCTGAAGTTGAAGAAGTACATTTGCCGACAAAAAGCCTGCAACCACATTGCGAAACGACTGGTACCGAACAGAGAAGATAGTACGTTAAAATGTATAGGTTCATACGAGATCGCTGCGAACTCGCCAATACGCGGATATCGGCGTACACCTAACCGTCTACTTCTAAGCTTTAAAACAATGCAAAGCAAATATTCTGATGCTAAACGAATTCAGAACAACCAAACTTTGCGCAAAGTGTTTTAGCATCAACCTGATGTCCAAATCGCTCCACAGGTACCAATTTTGCCTAAAATGCGGTACCTGTTGGAATCAAGACGTCAATGCTGGGAATAACATACTCTACCTGGGAGAATGTTTCATCAAGCAAAACGAAAAACACGAGAATTTTCGAAAATAAGGTGTCACTATTTCTTGTATAACGGCAACTGTGTACATCTGACTGCCAACAGTTTAACTTTAATTAGTTAAAGTGTACTATCTTTTGGAGGCCCCAATCGCGGCATTCGAACGTAACTCGAATCGAAATTTGATTTTGAGACTACGGCATTCGATAGCGAGTGTGCTTCGCCCGTTTAAATTGTATTGTGGAGAAAAAAGCTGACATTTTGTTTCACTCGATTCGAAATGAGTAATTACTCGATCACGAATACCGCCATTCGGGCCCTAATAAAAAAGTTGTAACTTACCAATGAATATGTTTTGTCACACATAAGTACTAATACATCGATTGGGCTGGTATGGTTTGCAACACAAATCCCATTTGTGGGTCGATTCTCCACATTATGATAATAAATGACAGCGGAAATGGCGCTGGAGAGCACTGAAAAGCAATGACCAAGCACTTGGTCTACCATTCTCCGTTTATGTTCACCATCTTTAATATATCCAACTATCGCCGTACAAAGAGTCAACCAAACTACCTGATGAATCGCACAGAACACAAAAGCCATTTACATTAAAACATGCACAAGCCGTAAACGAACCAGATTTACATATACCGTGTATAGACAAAAACGCTTATTTATATGGAATGTATATATGTATGTATATGGATATGTATGTATGTATGTAAGAAGTTATGACGAAATATGTTTGCTTAAACCATAAAACCTAGCTAGGAAAAGGGGTTTTCTCACCAAAGAGAAAGTACAGTCGGTTGAAAGAATAGCGACGTCCAAGGGAGAAGTGTGGTTTGCCACACAGAAACCAGAACCTTTTGGTTTAAATTCTGTGTTGTGGAATGTAATAACTGCCGACAGAGATCGAGTCATAACGCGAAAAGTTATTTTAAAAGCTAAATCTGCGCAAGGATGGCGAAGAAATTCGAAGGGAATCAGCGCAGCTAAGCTGTTAGCAATGACTGCAACAGAGACCTATGAATATAGGACATTTTTTCGTTAAAGTTTATATAACAAATGTTGAAAAAATAAATAAAGCTGTGTAAAATAATGTTTATCAAAAAATTAGCCGCGAACATGAAAATAGCAGTACAGTTGTAACTCATTAAACGCGAAGGCAAAAGAGGAAATTTAGAGGAACCAAATCTTGGAGGATACTAAAAGAGAGGATATGTACAAAAATCCATAATAAAAAGTTTCGACCTCTATCAAGGAGTGTCTGTACGACCTGAAACATATACATATGTAACACTCGTGAATCTTTGTTATGTAATATGTTTTTTTTTTTTAATTTCATACCTTTCACTTAAATTTATTTGAACAAATGGAATATCGAGTGATTAATTAATGTTAATTACATATTTTTAAATCGTTTTATAAGGAACGAAAAAAAAAATTTAAAAAGTCGAAATTTTGAAAAGGTTTTTCTATTAGAGATATAACTAGTATAGAAGAAAAGAATAAAAGTCAATCAATAATCATTATATTAAAATAAGTATTTTTCGAGTCATTCATAATTATTATTCAAGGACTTGTATTATAAAAGTCCTTTCATAATAAATATCCGGGAAAAATATTATTATTATTATTATTATTATATATATGAAAAGAAGTGACAATCCACTGCTTTACATTCAGATGGAGCACTAGTGTTACCACCTTCGGCTCGGGTCCGGGAAAAATATTTTTCACTCTTCAAAGGCTTTTTTTATAAGACTTATGTATATTATAAAAGTTTTTTCATAATAATTACACTGGTTTACAGCAAAAATTTTCTATGGATGCCACTATCCAATACCTATGTAGAATTGCTCGGCACTTTTCGATAGGGCGTATAGTTTCTGAAAAATTAATTAATCATTCCAGTTTTTTTTATTTTTTAGTGAAAAAATTAAAAAAAAAATCAAACTTTAACAGAAGAAAAATTAAAAATATAACAGGTTGTGTGCCAAATTTTTGCATTTCTGCTAAAGCCTGTTCTAAAATCAATATCAATAAAAAATCAAATTACTTATGAAAATCGATGGATTAATAAGAAATAATGAGTGGTCAAATAAAAATACGTAAAGATATCTTGTATGAAAACAGAACTTCGTCTGCCTCGGGAGACTCGGACCACAATAGCCCAACTGCGCTCTAGTTACTGCAGCAGGCTGAACTCATACCTGAGCAGATTAAACGAAAATGCTCTCAACATATGCCCGGCATGCTTCCTGGGGCTACCGCTAGTAGAGCTTGACGACAACGATTGAGGGACTAACCGATCTGGGCGGAGTTGTTGTAGCCGCTACAACAACAATAACAACACGGTACCCTGGCGCTACCTAGCTAGATCATTTTTCGAAAAAATGTTTCTGCTTAAATAACCAGTTTATATTACAAAAATAAGCCAAATTGGCCCATAAATATATTAGATATGTATATTTTTTTTTTGTGGTAGACTTTCCAGTGGAAACACCCATATGCATGTATATTAGGGCGGGTCAATTTGTATGGATCGATTTTTTTCGACATTGTTCCTAGCATATTCGGACCCTTCATAAAATTCTAAGAAAAAAATTCCTGCAGACCATAGCTCTAAAGTCAATTTCGAGCCTGCGCATTTTTAAAAGAAGATATAAAAATTAATTGCTGTCCGTTAGCCTCGCTAAGACTCGAAAACAGCTTGACCGATTTGAATATTTTTATTTTTTTGGTTTGTTTTTTATAATATCCGGATGGTTAAAACCAGAAAAAATAGAGAGTTGCCACCTGTTTAAAAATTTCAATATAAGTAAATTAATTACTTAAATTAGATATTGCAATATGGGTGGCAAAAGAAAGAGGTTATGAAGGCTTACAGGCGAAAATATTTTTGAGGGGGGTTGCCACCTGTTTCAAAATTTAATTAAATGAAATTGATAAGATAAATTAAATATTGCAAAATGGGTATCAAATTAAAAAGGTTTAAGAAGGCTTACTACTGAAAATATTTTTGAGTCGAGTTGCCACCAATTTCGAAAATTTAATTCAATTAAGTTAATAAGATAAAGTATGTATTATAATATAGGTGTCGAACGAAAAGTATTTGAAAAATTATTGATTAAGAAATATTTTCTATAGGCCTGCCACCTACCTGAGCGGTAAAAACTAAAAGCCATACTCGCAAATATTCAAATATTCAAAGCTTTTGAGGCTCGCATCAATGTGGAATACTGTAACTCCGTCAAGTTAGTGTTTATTGATGGCAAACAAAGTACTATCATGTTTGGCAATGATATCACCCCATCGAACAATGCACTTAGCCTCGATATAAAAATAGAACAAAAGCCGAAGTATTAGCCGAAACAGTTCATACAAATGTTCCACAATTGAACTAACAAAAAAATATGGCCTACGACTCTTTTATAGAAGCTGTGGACACTGGAGTAAAATTTAAACAAAAAAACAAAACCGACTTCAATTCTTATATACAAATTTAAGAGTGCCGTTATTTTCTTCATGTCCCAATTATCGGATCTACACTCAATTAGTAGGAGACTACTTCTGAGGAACCACCTTTCCTTTCAAAAAGAATTATAGAAAACGGATAACGTAGTCCAAAGTTACGCGGTAACATACATAAAAACATATTCCGACGAATTGATAAAATATGCAGATTAATATTTAATAAAGTGTTACGGATATATTTTTTTTAATACAAACCTGTGCTTGGGAGTTTATTGATACGAAAAATTAATTTCTGATATCTATTTTTTATTTAAAGAACCGCAAGATTGCACTACAAAGCAAATTACATATTTTTTACTATTGTAACGGGAGAAGTTACTGTATGTTTTTTTTATATGTACAGTGTCGAACAAAAATTTTGGCACAGTAAATTTTCGCATTACATATATGCAAAATTTTTAATTTATTTCCGATAATTTTTTATAAAAACATAGTTCATACCACACTAAAACTCATAAAAATCAAATGTGTAAACTTTGTGAAAAACTCAGGAAAATTCAATAAATCAGCATAGTAATTTGCAATTTTATATTCAGATTTTCAAGCAACTTCAAACCTGCATAAACTAAAATTGAATGGATTATTAAACTGCATACTTGGAATTTTTCTAAAAAATACTTTGCCTATATTGCGAAAAATTTACTGTGCCAATACTTTTGTTCGTTACTGTAAGTAAATAAACCCTTAACTTTAAAAAACCAAAAAAAAAATTACAATATTACAAAATTATTTTTCAAATCATAAATTTTTTATGATTAACAATGTATTTATATTTTTTTTTTTGGTTTTAGATCCTTTTTGCTTTCAACACGAGGTATCTTTTTTCTAGTTTCTATTGTCATAGCCATAACTCCCTCTCTATTTTTATCAATCAATCAATCAATCAATTTTATAATTTTTTTTTTCGGCATTTTTCCTAATTACAAGTAGAGCTTTATAAAACTTTTATAACACCAAATGTTTATCAAGCTTGGGATTTTATGTTATCCGGGCTGGCTTATTAATTTAGCCAGAGAATATGTTTTCTTTATTAAGTTTACCCAGTTACCCATTTTAAACTGCTACCTGTACGGTATCAGCGGTTAAAACTTGTTAAATTTTTATTTAAAATTTTCGGTAAGGAATAAGCGCGTGGATGAAAAAAATATAAACCGTAAGAACGGCCCATATATATGTATATCAAAGAATACACACATGCGACGACTCTAGCCATTGTGTGTCACTCCTTTAAATTATAGTTATTTATTTCTTATTGTATTAAAAAAATAACGTTCGTAACACTTTAGTAAATATTAATCCGTATATTAACTGAGTATATATTAAAGACTAGAAGATGACCCGGTGAACTTCATATCATCTATAATTTATTTGAATTTAACTTGGATCAATTATAACAAATCTTCAAAATGCAATACAATGAGATCACTAATACTGCCTGCTGTTATAGCTGATAAAAGATTCCACACCTATAAGATGTGCCACGCCCCTTTTTACAAACTCATTTATATACATATGTATATCTTTCCATAAGCACCTACCATAGGTATCTGTGCATTTCAAATTTCGAGTTCATGTGACTATAATTCCGAAGTTAGAGCTGATTAAAAATTTTCACTATGGGAGGTATCCCTCATCCCCCTCCCCCCCCCTTGGCGAGTTTCAATTTTTTTACCCTATTATAGGTCCAGGAGTCATGGCAATACTTTGGCAAAATTTTATTCGATTCTGTACCTCCGTTCAGGCTGCAACCTGGTGCATACATACATACATACTTCCACAAATATATAGTAGATTTGCTTTGAAGCGCCATCTTACGGTTCTTTAAATAAAAAATAGATATCAGAAATTAATTTTTCGTATCACTAAACTCCCGAGCACAACTCTTTATTACAAAAAAAATATTCCTAACACTTTAGTAAATATTAATCTGATTATGGACTTAGTATTAATTAAAAATATTTTCTTTTAAAATTGCGCAGGCTCGAAATTGATTTTAGAGCTATGGTCTAAAGGGCTTTTTTTCTTAGAATTGTATGTAGAATCCGAATCTGCTAGGAACGATGTCGAAAAAAAATTGACCCGCCCTAATGTACATACATATGGGCGATTCCACCGTCACGGGTTTGACATTTGTACGGAAAAAAATTTCTTTCTTGTTTAAATTTATGTATAAAGTACTCAACAATTCTACATTTTGATAAAGCTACACCTAATTGACTATTATATGAGTTATTACAAAATACGAAAAAAAATTCTAGTTTACTTTTATATGGAAAAAATCTGACTTATTTCTTCTGTCACGGGTGGGACAAAAAAAAGAACCTGCTTTTTGGAGCAGATATATTTTGCGGAAACTCTGCTAATTTGTTACACTTTTCTGTGTGAACTTGATGTGTTATAATAAAACAAAGAGCCAGGAACACAAACAAAGCAAAAACTACAAAAAAAATGATGGCTTTATTATAAAAAAAATCCGAAATTCCACTATCACGGGTTGGACAACGTTTGTCACGGGTAGGACACGTACCAATTTTTATATAAAAAGGAGCTTTTAGTGTGGTCCATATATAAAGATTAGTTAATAAAAAATATAAGAAGCCAAGTAGGGGTTAAATTCACTCACGTTTTATCTTAGGATGGTGCCTTTTATATAGACGAAAATGCTTAGCACCGTCAGCCAAAAAAATTATTAAAAATGAACGCGATTTCCTAGTGTCTTGAAATGTTCACTTTTACCTACTTAAACTTAATGGACTACAAAACTGCATACCTAAAAGTTCTGAACAAAACTTTTAACATTTTTGGGTGTAATTGCTAAAGTTTGTTTGATATTTTATAATTTTTGTAAGAAGTTTGAAATGTAGATTTATGTGGTTATGGCTAGACTTAATCAGCTGACCACAAGGGTATATAGATAATGGACGAATCCGCGTATGCCCCCCTCCTACCCTGCGTCCACCCCAACAAACAAATAAAGCTTGTCAGCCCTGTAAACCTACATACCTCTGACAACTGTCCCACACATAGCTGTCACGGGTGGGACATACTTCTCCGTTGAATTATTCTTATCTAACTACGTGGAAACGACAATGCAATTATGGTAAATATTTGCAATGATATTCTAACATTATGTAACAAACACGAAACAAAACCTCAACTTCTGTAATTAAATATAACAACTTTTAGCTTTTTTTTGTCACGGGTGGGACAAGACCAATACTGCTTAATAATAACTCATAATATAGATAAAGCAGTCGCACAATTTAATATATAACACAATTTTATTAAAAGCAGATGGGTTCTACTATATATTTTTCTTACCAAACATTTGAATTATGAATCGCAAATTATTTGACAGTGCATTCAACACAACCTACTTTAAACTCAATAAAAAAATTTACTTAGAACTTGATTTCAAAACGTAAAAAAAAGGTAATAAAAATGCATTTCAAGCTTAAATTTGTTATTTTTTGGTTGATTCAAGATTTTTGCAAATGTCTTATCCACACGTTTGTTAGTTTTATAAAGAAAATAATTTTTGCACCGAGGTCCACTTTCCTATGGAACCTCCCATATGCAATATCGAAATAATAAAATTTTTTAAGCAATGCGTGCTTTGAAAATAATTTGAATTTTAAGAAACAAATAGCGGTACTACTATTTTTGCGTTCGCAACTGTTCATACAATATACATATCGTCGTTTAAAGTAAAAAACCGTGTATCAACAAAATGCAAAACCGCGTATCAAGATAATACAAAACAGCGTATGTGAGGTTGCATAAATTATTTTCTAGAGATTAAAAAGACTAATATTTCAAAAGGGTTCTTTTTTTGTAAAGCAATCGAAATTGTATATTTCAGGACAAATGGATAAGGCTTGAGCCAAGAGCTTGTGTGAGCAAATCCAATTTTGGGCAAAAAATGTCATTTACGCGGTTTTGCAAAACGACAATACGCGATAATTAACCACCATATTCTAACTTCTATATTTGATGTCTGATTTCTATAAATGATATCCGTTGTAGAGGTATTAAAAAGCCTACATAATTCCCGTAAAATCGTTTGGAACAAGTTGATTGTTTTGCCCATATATCGCGATACGGGCTAATGTACATACATACCCAGCAAAAAATGGTGTAAGCAGTTGTAAGATATAAGCAATACGCTAGCGGCGCTGCTTGCAGCGTTTTTTTATATGATCTATAAGCCTTATAATAAAGTTACTATACTCCATGTGATGCCTTATTATAAGGGATTATGTAAGCCTTATTTTATTTGACCTTATGAACTGACGACGTCAACACAGTGTGGTGTTGATTAAAACTAAACATTTGAAAGCATATTTACATGTATGGCTGTAGCTGAGTGTGCAAAGATGCTTCATACCATTGGTTGCTACCAAGGCTGTCCGGATCCCATCCCCATCAGACGGAACATGAAATTTAAGATTTTATTTTATTTTTTCTTAATTATGAAAAGGCCTTCGCGAAGTGTAACGTGAAGCAAACGTTTATTTTATTTGATCTAGAAGCCTTATTATAAGGAAATTATATTCCATGTAAGGCCTTATTTTAAGGGCAAACCTTATTTTATATGGCCTATAAGACTTACATATGCATAAGTGCGTCTCTCAGAGAAAGAGAGAAAAAGTTTCATACAACTGACTTTCCTGACAGATTTCAGACATTAAAATATAAAGCTTATGATCGTATAAAATAAGCTTTATATAAGGCGCAAATTTTTTGGAGGGTATGTGTAAATACAACCATATACATATACTTTGCTCCCGCTGTGGTGTAGTGGTTAGCAGTGGGCGCTGCAATTCCGTAGGTCTAGGTTCAAGTCCAGGTTCCGACCAACATAAAAAAAGAAGATTTTCCTAGTAGCGGTCGCCCCTCGGCAGGCAATGGCAAACCTCCGAATGTATTTCTACCATGAAAAACAGCTTCTCATAAAAATACAATCATCGTTCGGAGTCGTAGGGCCATTCCCTTCGTGTGACAACATGAAAGCGCACGCCACAAATCGGGGAAGCTCGGCTAAACCCTTACATATTGTGTAAGCGCCACTCTATTATCATAAAATATCGTTGCCTTAATTCACAAAGGCACTAACGAACGCTTTTTTCGAAACTGTGTGTTTCTCAGATTTTGGTAAAAATTTTGAAGTGTCAGAAATTTGCTGGTAGGGCCTTTGTGAATTAAGGTAACGACATGTACATATGAGGCAAGCATTAGGAGAGCAGTTTAAATGTTTTTGCACTTTATGGGATAATGATTTATAATATTTAGCATAAACCAAATATACCAGATCACGTAAAAAGAAGAGTAGCCATTTATAATCGCAGTTAGGGAACTAGTAATTTTTAAGAAAAAAACAAAACCGACTTCAATTCTCGTATAAAAATTTAGGAGTACCGTTAATTTTTTCATGATCCAATGATCGGATCTAAACCAGATTAGTATGGGGCCACCTCTGAGACACTACCTTTCCGCAAAAAGAATTATCGAAATCGGGAAAAAATATTCCGACGAACTGACAACCTCCTTGGCGTCGAGATTTCGACAGCCAGAAAAGTGTCTTTCGTTCGTGCAAATGTGCATATAGAAGTACGTACGAGAATTTCAAGAATGTTTGTAACTGCAGCAGTCATATAGTTTTAACATTGCCGAAAACCGACCAGGCACAATTAAGAGTTGCTGAGGATGACTTCAGATTGGGGACGAAATAACGACAATAAAAATTAATAACACTAAAACTGGAGTTTTATGTATTTGTTGGGCCTCGAGCTTAATGTTTTAAAAAATGTCATAGTTTGAAACCCTTAATATCAATTTTTAGTTAAGAAATCATTCATATATAGGAGAATTATGTATCTATGTACATAAATTCAAAAATTTCCAACGTTTTGTTTTTTTGTTGGTCAAGTTATTCCCTTGTAAAAGATTTGCTTAGATTGAATAATTTCCACCGGTCAACAAAATCTGGAAATTTGCCGTATAATTCAATCGGCTGTGAATCTTGTTTCATCTTGCTATTACTGAGTGAAAATGAAATTTTCTCATACGTACATATGTATATCAATTTAAACATTATGATAATAAGGATTATTAGTATCATATAAAAGAACTGCAACAACTTACTCCAACAAAACAAACGAAAACTCGCAAAGGCATCAAAATAAAATACCGCACAGCAAATCCCGCCATCCAAATTAATGTTATCTTCCACGATATAAATTCATAGCGGCGATTTGTACGTGTTAGTAGATTCCAACTTCTCAACTCTTCTGCTTCAAAACGTGATGTGACTTCATCTTCGATAATTGATTCAACCCCTGCTTTAATATAGTCGAAACATTTTTCCAAATTAAACCGAATTTCCTCCTAAAAATAAAGAGACAATAATTTTAATTCATTACAGGATAAGCATCTGTGTAGTTTTTAGTTAGTCTGTTCCAATAGCAGTTCGGTTTACAGGATTTAGTCAGAACTTACAGGAAGTCGTTCCTATTGACATAAAACCTGTAAGTGGGAACACTTTTGATAGAGTAATTGAGCAACTGTTCCTAGTCAGAAGTTACAAGATTTAGTCTGGAGTTTTTTTTCCTGTAAGTTCATGAATCATCAGCTCAGCTGATTTACATGTGCAAACAAAAACAGAAAGCGGTGAGAGCAAATAACCTTATATTTGTTAAAAAATGGAAGTAAACCAAGGTACATTGAACAGGTAGTATCAGTAGAGCAGCTGATTTGATTTATTTTCAAATTATTTGGTCTCGAAAATGTCAAATATTTTTAATTTTTTCTCACAAAAATTCTGAATTGTTAAAATCCATTTGCATGTGAAACCTTTTTCCATACAAAACAAGCGATTGAATAGCAGCTTTTGGAACGTTCGCC